ATTAATTTTTCTATGGGAACGCAAACTCGGACTGCTGACAGGCCATTAAGCGAATTGGAATGAAATCGGCGTGTAATAAGCGGAGTTATAAACTGTAATGTTGATAGTTACCATCTAGGTGTTGGAGAGGGGATTAGTGGGCATGTCGCTACAGGCCGGCGGTGAGCGGCGGCACGAAACGGCGCTGAGTAACGTGCAGTGATTCAGCCAACTCGCGCCCGCGAAGGGTCGGATCTCCTGCCACGAGCTGCGCCTTGCTGCTTGGAGCCGGGTAAACACAGCACGGGCATCAAAGGAGCTGAGCGCACGCAGGAACAGGAGCGAGAGCCCAAAACCGCGGCTGCGACCCGCGGCTGCAGAGCGGATCCCTTTCGGGCACCACCTGAGCTGTAATTACTCGCCCTGCCACCCGCCGTGGTGCTTTTTCCAGCGCTGCCTTTGCAGGTGTGGTGCATCAAAGAGGAGGGCGCAGATGTTTCGCCTGAGAGCGCTGAGCAAGGCGAGGTGCGGCAGCGCCGGGAGGCGGCCGCGGTGCCCCTGGGAGGCGGCCGCGGTGTCCCAGCACGCGCGGAGCGGCGAGGCGCCCTCTCCGGAACGGCACGGCCCGGCACCCCCCGGCACCCCCGTACGTTAACATTTCGAGGCACCTTTAGTGGGTAGTGTTTTCACAAGCAGCTACAGTAATTGCTCAGGTCGACACTTCTGTTTCCTACCGTGGATTGAGGCACTTGGAGCTGTTGGGTTTTTCCCTTCTGTTGTCTCCTCACTGTCAACTGGGGGACAGAGGTACTAAGAGTAAGAAAACCAAGTGAAGAACTTCAACATTTTACTTGAGAGAAGAGCAAGGGGAAAAGCTTATTCCTGGGTAAAAACTTTATTTTTCTGCTTTCTGAAGGATCTCTGCTCCTTCTCTGGCGTGACTTCACTGAAAACTACTGGGAAACAGGGTCTTGCTTCTTAAAGAGTTTCTCATGGGAGAAAAAATCTCTTTTTTTTAATTCTTGAGAAATATTTGTCTATTTGAAGAATGATATTTCTAATGTAGAAAATAACCCTGCAGATGGTTATTGATGCCTGATACTAGTCCATTTGTGTCTGTCTGCTGTGATGGGGGGTGTTTAAAGTGCTAAGTCTATAGCTAGCCTAATTTGCAAGCTTAGGGCTTATTGCCTTAATACTGCCTTGAAGATAAAAACTCTGGATTTTTTTTTTCTTAAGAAAATTACCAAACAATTTCCTGAAAGGCAAACTTCTCTGAATAGTTTAGTCTAATAGTCAAAATAATTCATTTTCAAGGGATTTTATGAATCTGCTGCAATGGGCACTTCTCTTTGCTATCAGTTCTTCCATTTGCTCTGATGGTATATTGGGAGAGAAGAAAGGAAGATCTTCATGTTCATCCATTTAGGTACTCAGGGATTCTGAAAGTGCTTCAAACATTCATTATTTTGTCCACAATGCTCAACCTAAGCCCCTGGACTGCCTAGAAGTTTGGAGAGACTTTTTAAAGGCTCCTACCTATTACTCCAGGTCTTCATCCACTTTCTCTGGCTTGGCAAGAGATGTTGGAGCTGGTGATCTCATAGCTCCTGTTGCAATTTCAAAGGAAATGCAAAGTTTGTGGTGTGACTCAGTTGTACCAGGATTCTGCTTTAAGCAACGTTAATCCGAACTTGACTATTCATGTGTTTTGTTGGTCTAATAGCCTCGTAATGTAACTATTCCCTTTAAAGAAAGCAAGCAGCCTTTGTTCTCCCCTAAGCTATGTCAGACACTTACTCTTAATCACATGAGGGCAAACGCACTTTGGGGCCCAGAGCCGCAATGACTGAATGCCACAGGAATGTAGTGTGTCACATCTAGAAAAGGGGGAGTAGATCCATAATTTTTCAGCCTTAGACCAACCCTCGTGTTCAGTCAACTGTGACGCGGGCTGCTTTTATGGCTGTGGTTTTAGGGCTGTGGTTATAACTAAAAGACCCTTGGTCCATGGGAAAGATGGAGTGGGGGGAAAAAAGCTTAGGTTTGAAGTCGAGCTGAAGTCTTTTCTCCTCCTGGGGAAAAATAAAAGAAAGTAAAGAAAAGAATTAAAAACCCTGAAGTCTGGTGTGCTTTGACATCTGCCTTTCCAGGTCTGAGAAAGAAGTTTGGATACAGCTGGAAATCACAGCAGTCGATGCCTCTGCGAGCCAAGAAATAACTGTCCGCGCGACTCGCAGAAGCTGCTGCCGAGCTAATCCCCTGCGGCGGATACGGGAAGGCTGCTGGTTTTGTAGCCTACGGAAAATGCAACCGCTTCCCACCCCAGTGTGGGTGCCCCGCAGCCCCCGCGTGTCTGCGTCACCCGTGTCAGAGGAGCTGAACCTTTCCAGGCACCGGCGTCCCCACGGGGACACGCGGGCTCTGCCGCAGCCGCTGGAGCCGGTAGCAGCAGCAGCTGCCAAGGTCCCTTTTAAAGTCTTGTGTGTTAGAGCAAAATCCAGGCTGATCGTCTGAATGAGCAACCTTCCTGTGCTCTCACTCACTTGGAAGCTAAAGCCGGATTCATCTTCACCTTCATCGTCATCCCTTCCTTTCTGCTCCTCCTTTTTCCCTTCTCTTCACTACAAATGGTCTTTGAAGGTTTAAGTGGGAGGACAGAGTAAGATTGAGGGTCTTAGCTGTTAAGTGAGGTTAATCAGCTTGGTGGTGGGTAGGTGGGCATAATGCAGCCTGAGGTTTGAGGATGTGATGCTCAAGATGACCGGGACCCTTTTTATTGGTCCAACCTCTGTCACATGTCAACTTCTTGATTAAAAATGGCCTGATTGTTTTATTGTCCCCATAATTAAGAGAAACAGAGAAAATCAGTTTCTTCAAAGAAGAAGGTGTCCTTTCCCCGCTCTCACCAAGATCCCATGTCGAGTCTGACAGGAAGAAATTAAGGCTGTAAATCACCGCTCTGTGAAATTCGTTTTAACTGGCACGAGCAGAAGAAATGAAACTACTGAAATTCTTGCTGGATGAGGAAGGTTAGTCGCAGCAGACTCTGAGATGCAGGATTTTGGCGGCTGCCCAGAGCGGCTGAACTGCCGGGGAGGAATGCAAATCCATTTGCTAGCTTTCTGGCGTAGTCAGTACAAATATGCAGATGCGATGTCTTCCAAAAACACATCCCTCTGCAGAATGCCCAGCGCCCTGCAAGGGTGCAAAGAAAAGCAGGATGACCTGAGTGCCACCAGCGTGCCTCGTTTCAACAGCTAAAATCTTGAGAAGCCGCATATCAATTTTTGCAATGTCTGCTTTGACTTAAATCCATAAGCGACAGCCTGCTGCCAGGAAGACCAGAAGGAATGATTAAAGCCATGCAACACTCCTCCTGCAACAGAAGGAGACCATCTCACAGATTGCGAATATAATTGATGGCTTTAATTAATTTCACCTTCTTGGCTTCAATATTAAAGTCTGAGAAATGGAGTTACTATTTTTACAGGAACGCAAGGTAATTAGTAGGCAACATACAAACAGGCTATTGAAATTCAGGCTCGAACGTTTGATGACAAATGCAAATTTGAGCCCAAATATTTTACTCTGCTTGGCAGTAAATCATTGCTGGGAAAAAAAATGTTGAACGAGTCGCCCTGCATAAATCCCAATGCAGCTGTGGGGTGACAAATTCCTGTTCTGTGGCGCTGGCTGTTCCTGTGCTACAATAGCAGGAAAGAGCGGCTGGATCAGCGTGAGGATGTGGATCGCCCAGGTGCCTCCCCGGGAGGCAGCGCCCGTGCTCCCTGGCTTCCCTTTTTGGGGGATTTCATTTACACGTTGAATGTGGAGAGACCCTGAGGAGCACGAAGCTGATCGTGTATGTGAATGTGGCAATACCTCATAGTCTGGCCATCACCAGATTTCTGTGTAGTTTTGGAAATATGATGTAAATGCTGGTTTTGGCAGATTTAACCATGCATTTTCAAGAACGTTATGGTTTCATGCATTTCCAGACCCATATTTTGCCACTTCTGCTGAACAGAAACCTTCAATGCTTTACTAAGTCAGCAGAGCCTGGTTCCTTTGCACTGCAGGTGCCAAATTCAGGCTGCTGCTCAACTCTAGAAATATATGAGGGCCTTGTTGGGAGGATCCCTTATTGCTTGCTGAAGCTACTGTTTTGGGGTTTGTTTCTTGGTTGTCTGGTGTGTTAAATGCTTCAGGCAATGGTTTTGTTTGCTTTTTTGTTTTTC